TTTTTTCAACGATAAAAATATATCACTGGATGCATTAATTGGAATATGCACTGACGGTGAGCCAACAAACACTGGCCCACACGGTGGAATTATACGACGATTCGAATTGCTGTTAAAAAGACCATTGCATTGGTTCGTTTGCCTTCTACACTTCAACGAACTTCCGTTTCGGCATTTGTTTGAAGCTTTGGATAAATCAACCAGCACTGGACCAAGATCGGCAACCGGAAAACTGAGCCGTCAAATCGAAACTTGTGAAACTCTTCCGGTAAGTTATTGCTATCACTCATTTATTATAATTGTCAACCATTTTTAATTATTTTATTATGATATATTTTCAGGTGGTGGACGGCTTCCAGAAAATTGAGTTGCAAAATATGCCCCCTGCTCCAGAATTGAATTTTCCACCGATTCGAAGTACTTATACGACATACCGGACATACCGGTTATAACGGAAAATGTAGAGGCTGTTATGGCGACGACATTAGAGAGCCGTGCGAAATTGCCCAGACTTGAAAGTAAAAAAGACTTCAAACAATAATTTTTTTTAGTTTCTTTTCTATAACTCACTTAAATTAATTTTTTCATTTACATATGTTCTGACTAAATAAATTTCTTAAGAGAAAAAATAGATATTATTATAAATAAATAATAAATATTATTATAAATAAATAAATAAAAATAAAGAAAAAACATAGCTATTTAGCTGATTTTTTCATGTAAAGGCCAAAAATGGTGATTTTTTGAAATTATTGTATGGGGAACCCCCCAGGGGAGTTCCAGGGGGTGTGCCACTGGCATGGGTGGATCGGCCGTCCAAAGTTAGTGGGGGTCGGTCATACATTTGGACTCGATTGGAGCACTCTAAATGGGTCAAAGTGGGATTTTTCAAAATTTGCCCCTACCCAAAAGTTCGACCCAAATTGGGGGACATCAGAATTCGTTTTAGAGGTATGGTTCCTTCGGCAAAGTTTCTTATTTTGATCCCTAGAATACGATTTTCACAGAGCAATGAGCGATTTTTTAATCGACCCGCCCTAGTATGTATATATAGATATTTTGCATATTTTCTATAAATAAAGTATTATAAGCACGCCACCCTGATGGCAGCCCTTGTTAACTTCGCACGCGACATATTGACATCCTTTTGTCTGAATCGTGATGGCCCGTTGCGTCAGCATAGAACGAATCCAATTTACCAGTACAGAATGTACTCCATGCCGTAGAGCAAAAATGCTCATGCTATCAAAGGTGGCATTGTCAAAAGCGAACTCAATGTCTGCAAATATGCCCAAAGCGAATTCTGGCATTGCTAATTTTGGCAACCAGATTTTGAAAAGCCGTCTCACAGGATTTCCCCGCCTATTAGGCATGTTTATCCAAATACAGAGGATGTGATGAGAGCGCCTCCCTACGAATGCGCAACTCTACCAATCTTTCCAGACATTTTAGGATGAAGGATGTCATGCTAATAAGCCTGTTGCCTTTGGGGCTAGTATAGTTATCCTTACCAAGCTTAGGTAAATACAAAGGCGATATCAACCAACTTCCAAGATTGTGGTATGTAGGCAAGTGAAAGCGATGCTGCGAAAATCTTTTTGAAGGTCGCCAACTAAAGCTCAAGACCTTCCTTAAGTATAATAGGTAGGACGCCATCCGGACCGGGCGATTTGAGACTGTCAAAAGACTCAATAGCATATCTTAGGGCATCTTCATTAGCCACAGTTCTCGCATATCATCTCCCTCACCAGTTGAGGGAGAGGAAGGCGTAACCTTCACCTGATTTCCACGAAAGTGAGTCTCTATAACAGAGAGTGACTCAATCCTAGTCTCCGTTAAAGAACCAACAGGCCTCTTGAGTGAACGCAGCTTTGTGGTTAGGTCCTTCTTTATAACTATTACTAGCGTAGCCGTTTGACTCAAGGTTTCAATACCACTGCAGTATTCTTTGAAAGCGGCCCTCTTCGCCGAGCGAATTATATTACATTCCCACGGCGTGTTGCCGATTTGATCCATATACTTCATACGTGTTTGTGCAAATTTTCGAGAGATACTTTATTTTTTCGCTCATTTTCTTAAGTTTCCCGCGTAATACAAATTTTGATACATGACAAAGAGAAAATATATATCGTCACCTTAATTCCCAAATGCCCTGACTAACACTTGTTTTGAAACTGCGTTTTTCGCAGATTTTGGTAGGATGTATTAAAATACACCTTCAACAAAAATTTTAAAGTGTTAGTACCAAAAGCAACGGAGTTATGCCACTTTTTAAAATGCCCTATGCATATGCATGATTTGATTTTTATACAAGCCGATTCTGAGCAGAAACTCCCTGGGAGTTTTCTCTCTTTTTGCTTTGCTCCTATTATGAATAAAAATTCCCTAAAGATTTTTTATATTAACTGGCGGAGTTGAGCTCTCAAAAAAGTGTCAAACAGCTTTTTCGAAGTTCGAATTTCCTCCTCCCAAGTTTTCGGGAAAAATGCTACTAAATGGGAGTTAATTATTGGAGAATTTCTTTCTCGGAAGAAACAAATTTCCGGAGAACAAACTCCCAGGGAGTATTAAGAATTGAGCTGATAATAGCCCCTATAATAAGTTGCATTCGATATTCGACTGTGGTCGAAAGTGCTGATCGAACGAATTTTCATTTGGTATTATGTCGCCCATCCGATGAAGAATTGCGCTATTGTGAATTTCGCTCGTTTAGGTTGTTCACAATAGTATATTTTTCACCGCTAAGAAGCTTTGTTTACAAATCGAGCAAACTAAATAGTGTGCTTATACACATACATATGTACATATATGTATGTAAATTTCTGCAAATTAAAATGAAATAAAAAAGAAAGCGAGTTTATAAAAACGTGGTAAAAAAAAATTAACTAGTACAACGGAGTTCTGGTTGAACGATTCCTCAGAGGAAGAGAGCTTATAAAACTGGCCAGGAGCAGTTTAAGAGACTTTAAATGCAGTCATTCGAATATATTTTGACGTACAATATATTTAAGAAATTTTGTGATCCAAATCTATTTAAAATATATTAAAACTAAACAGCTCTATGATTTTGTTCTCAGAGATCGTGCCAACAGCGTATTGGCGATTTTCTTTCATAAGTAAAGCTAGACTTTCGACCTTGTGTTTAGTATTCACGGCGTTAGAACTGCATGAAATTAATCAAAATTGTTTAAAATTAGTGGCTAGCCGCCAAAAAGTAGGAAAACAAAAACAAAATCATACATTTTTCACAATTTTCTAACACTTCGCTACACCAACGAAAGCAAAATTCTGTTCGACAGAAAATTCGATACTCAACGAAAATTTCGACACGCTTGCATAGCTCATAATACGAATTTCACTTTCGATCTTCGATAGCCAGCGAAAATATAGATATAGATATATAGATAGATCGAAAATATTGAAACGTTTTGAGGTCAAATAAGCTTAAAGAAGAATGCTCATTAGTCATGAGATGACTGCATTCATTTTTCATTTACTTTACTGGCCGCTAACATAGCTGTGCGGCTGTAGAGCGTGTATTTTCAGATTTAAAATTAATCCAATGTGAGAGGAAAACTATACTTTCATTACAAACTGTCGAGAAAATAATGGGGCGTGTTCACAGTCACAATTAAGTCGATACTGAAGGTAGTTTCAGCTTTTTGACATAATTTCCAACGAGATTAACGAGGAGTGTATCTAATAATTTGATAATTAACGTAAATGATCGACAGCTAAAGTTTTAAGTACATATGTATACATTAGACTGCATCACTCCCCATACAAAAAAAAATCGGTTCTATTTTTCCATTGGAATTATAAAATCTATTATTTTTTAAGACGTCCACCAAAATATTTCGGAAAAATATTAAGATTTAAGTGAGCTGGACCGATTTGAAAATACCTCCAAAAATGGAGTTTTTTATGAATAAAAATAGTTTTTAAACGAAAAAAAGATTTTTAACAGAATAGTAATGATAAGATTTTTGAGGCTATTTTTTACTTTTTTCAAAGATTGGTATAGAAAAAACTTGAATAGCTGAACCCAAACTCTTCCGATTTAGACTTAAGAGGTGTCATTAGAAAGGTATTTTCTCACCCTTTTTATTTCTTTGCTAATAAACTCATTCAAAGGATGGAAGAGAAAGGTAGGATGAACGAACGTCATTCAAAGTTGAATTAAGATGTGTTGGTATTCGAAAAACAAGATGGGACACGAATGACATTTTTTTTGGCCAGAAATAAAAACAGTGTGAAAATACCTTTCTACTGAGATCCCATAAGTCTAAATCAGAACGTGTTTGGCCCAGTTATTCAAGTTTTTCGTAAACCAATCTTTGAAAAAAGTAAAAAAACAGCATCAAAAATCTCATTCTTGCGATTCCGTTGAAAAGATTTTCAAATATTTCTATGCAGATTTTTTAAGCTTAATCTAATTTGTCATCTGAGGGGAATTTTTTCAAAAAGTTCTTTAAGAAACTATTTTTATTCATAAAAAACTTCATTTTTGGAGGTATTTTCAAATCGGTCCAGCTCGCTAAAATCTTAATATTTTTCCGAAATATTTTGGTGGACTTCTTAAAGTATAATAAATTTTGTAATCCCGGCGGAAAAACCGCAACTTTTTTTGGTGATGCAGTCTAGTATACATATTTGTACTCAAGTTTCTGTGAAATGTATACATACTATTTTTGTTCGTCTTTATACAAGATTAAAAACAATACATGATTTTTCGGTTATTGACAATAATAAAAAGCAGTGTTATGAAACCAAATAGCATTTTTTAATAGTTTTTTCTAACTTGATACTTAGATACCTAAAAAAATGAGCGATACATTTGATCAATTTTTTTGTTCTTTTTTTTACGATACATTTTTTCATGACGTCGCGGCAACACTGTCTACGGCACGTAATTCGCTGTCCCATTCGCAATTGGCTCTCTCATTCGTAATTGGCACTGTAAACAGCGAAGCCTGTTCCCCCCGTGCCCGGTATTATTTGCTGCACAGCCTTAAGCCAATACCAGTAACATGGGAGAGGCATTTCACCACAATGGTTCCATCCCTCTCTTATGAACGAGCATTGGCTAACCGGCCCGGATCAGATGGATCTTCCAGTGTTTAATTTCCGCAGTAGTCATTTGCCAAGTCTAATCCACCCTCGCGGCCTTCTACGGGCTCTCAATAAGTTGGCCGGTACTTTCGTACCAAAAGTGGTACTTTGAAAATGATTTGGTACGTTGGTTCGCTGATTTTAATTTTGGTACTTTTTTCCTTAAAAGCGGCAGTTAAGGAAAACAACATTATTTCCATCTATATTAGCCGTGTTTTATTTGTCCAGAAATTTAAGCTATTAGCTTATTTTGTATGGAGGACTTACCCAACATAATTATATTGGCTTATGAAAAGCTATCTTGGCTTGTATATTGAACAAGAGGCATTGCCATTCAGCATCGGAAATGTTCTCCTTCAGCCAATCAGAAAGAGGCAAAAACTTACTATGACACTATTTGCAGTCAAACAACTGTCAAAATTAGGCTAACATCGGAAATAAGCTAATTTCGTTTTATTTGACCAAGATTTAGCTATTTGCTTGTGTTGGTTGAATAAAACATGTCTATTTTTGATTTTTCTATATTCTGTATTTATTTGTCAATTAGAAGTCCAATAATATAAACGAGAGCTTCAATATTCTAAATTCTCTGACAGTTCCTTTTTTCCTCCTAACGGCTTTGTTTACTTGTACTTGAGAAATGTCAGTGCCGCCGGCAATGCGAAATTTCATATTCTATAATTCTTGGGTGGCGCCGTCAATGCTACATCAACTCCGCAACTTTGGTCTTGTCAAATCATATATTTTTACAATTTTTCACAACTGAAGCACGTTTTCTATCGAAAAATGTATTAAAAAATTGACTGCTTTGACGGTTTCTTTTTGTTTGCTTTTACTTGAGAAATGTCATCGCCGACAGGACGCACAGTGCGGCCGAAATCCAAAACTGCGGCCAAAATTCGAAGCTTTGAAAAAATGATTCGAAATTTCGTACTAGGGGGTTTCGGGGTCACTAATTACTAATCCGCTGTCAAAATTGCAAAATTCAAAATAGGGAATCCAGTATGAGTATGCAGTTTTATAGCCCATTCAATTTTAGTCTCACAAAGCCCAAATTTAAAGCAGCTAGGACTTACCGTTGATTTTTGACAACTTTTTTTTGTTAGCGGTGCCAGTCATTTTCTTCCATACGAAGTATATTCGATGATATGAAGAAAATATTGAGCAACCCCTTCAACAAAAAAAAAAAATTCAAAAATCAACCGTAAGTCCCAGCTACTTTAAGCGTAACTTTATTATATTTAAATTAAATGGGCTACAAAACTGCATACTCAAAATCTTTCTGTGAAATCTACAGGTGAAACTAATATGTATAAGCGTGTAAAAAAAAAATCTATATATTATTCTGAAACATCTATATATTATTCTGAAACAAGGCGCTTATTCCCATTGATCTACAAGTCGTACAGAGACAAATTATACATCAAATTAAAGTGATCTGAAACTTTGTACAAACTTTTTAGATTTAAGATTCATTGAACCATTTTCGAAATATTTGCGTCGAAAGATATAAAAATTTTTACATTGAGCAAAGCATTGGCTCAGGAAAGCCAACCCATTTTTGAGAATTCCCCGATTTCGACAATGAACTTCCCCGATTTTGCCCGAAATTTCGTAAAATTCCCCACCCATATATATCTCCGGGTATATTTAGTATTTGTTTATTCTATTTATAAATATGTATATGTACATAATTCAGCTATGTACTCATAAACCAAACCAAACTTTTATTAAGTTTGTTAACAAATAAAAAATGTACGTATATGTAATATTTACATACATACAGCGGTCGAAAAAAAATTGAGTCGCACAAAATTTTGAAAAGTCTTCACATTTTTTTTTATTACTTAATTTGAGTTATTTTTATAAAAATATAGTTCATTCTTTAACAAAAACCGTTTAAATACAATTTTCAAATTTAATTTAATTTAAATACAACAAACTTTCACAAAAATTTCGAGCTTTTTAATTAGATTTTATAGAAAAATTTTGAGTATGCAGTTTTGTAGTCCACTCAATTCTAGTATAAAAAGTCCAAGTTTCAAGTACCTAAAAATGTTAGTTTTAGAATTTTGTTTGCCGAAGGCGTTGCGGTTTTCTTCTTGCTACAAGGAAAATCCTAAAAAATAAACGATAATTTTTAGCCATTTGAAATTTTATTATACTAGATTTGAACGTGCTACAAAACTGCACACGGCTCATACCACCGTGACGGGTGAGACATTTTAACTTACATTTTTTTAAATCATTATGAAATTAGTGAAGCAAAAAAGAAAATTTGTTACACAAAATTCCTCACAAAAATAAGCTCATCTCTCGCTTCCCCATGTAAGCTGAAATTCCCCACAAATACCTGTCTATTCCCCTTTTCCCCACGCAAACTGTGATTCCCAGCAAATCGGGGAATTTTCCACGGGTTGGCTTCCCTGGTGTGCATGTAAGCAGCGATACAGCGGAAGATCTGCAAAGAAATATTCCCTTTGCATATCCATAACGGCCAGTTGTTGTCTTTTGTATAAGTAAGAAAACAAAGCAGGCGATTTTCACGTCCGCGGTAGCCAAGGGGTGAGAGTTGCGGGCTACAAGTCTGTAGCTGCCAGGTTCGATCCTCGGTTGGAGTGATTGCGAAACAATTTTTTGTTTTTATTATTTATTTTATATTTTTGTTATTTTAGTTCAGTTATATATTTAATTCTACTTTATTTTGTTTTCATTTGCTTTATTATATATCACATTTTTTATTTTACTATTAGTTAATTTAAACTCGAGTTGCATTTTCTTAAAAAGTCAACAACAACTAACTGCCAAGCCACGTAAAAAAAATATAGATCTTATTAAAACCGAATGAAAACGAAATAAATGAAAATTCTACTGGCCGTGGGACTCGAACCCACGACCTTGCGGCTCGTTTATCCGCATTACTGCCGTCTGTAAGGGTAAAATTATATGCGCATATTTGTGCCAGATTATATACATAAGCTTTGCCGTCTGGCACAGCTTTTAGATAATTTAAATATTTATCACAATACGATCGTCAGACGAAAAAGGTTTAACGAGGTTTTGGTTTAAAAATAATTATAACAGGATTGAAACCTGTTTGAAAAATCGAATTAAATTAAATTATATGTAATATAAAAACAACAACAAAAATTATAAAGTTAAACTCAAATTATTTAATTAGTCAAATGAATTATAAAAGTATTACATGGGTTAAAAATTTTTTTTCTGAACTTTATTTGAGAGGGTTGCCATATGTTTTAGAAATTAAATTCAACTTGAATTAAAGGAATTAGATACACAGTTTAAATATGTATCGCAATATATGCGTCCGTCGGAAATGGTTTAACAAGGTTTTGGTTTCAAAATATTTTTAATAACGTTGCCACATGTTTTAAAATTAGAATTAAATTACAGTAAGCATAAATTAAATGAAATATTAAAATATGACGTGAAAACAAGGTGGTAAGATATCCTTAGTTTCAATATTTAGAATATTAAGGAGGGTGCCTAAGTTAAAGCAATTTTTAAAAATATGGGTATCACATGAAAGCGGTTTAAAAAGGCTTTGTTTCTGAACTGTATGTAGAAGTGTTGTAACGTATTTAAAAAATAAAATTTAACTTAATTCATCAGGCACATGAAATATGTAGGCATCACAATATCTGACGCAAGAGATTTGTTTATTTCTTAACTATATTTAGGGGGGCTGGCACAGCCCGCAGGTCAAGACGAAAGCGCTAAACTGATCCTTTTTTATAAAAGTCTAGCTGACTATAAAACAAACCCCATACAAATTCAGTTTTCAAACTTTTGCACAAAAATTTTAAAAATTTCGCAATTTTTCCCAAACTTTCAAACTATTTAATCAGAACCTTTAGAAAAAATTGTGGTAGCCCATTTAATTCTAGTATAATGAAGTGTAAGTTTCAAGCTGCTTAAAAATTCCGTTGATTTTTGGGATTTGTTTTTGTGCTGGCAGTATGATCAATATAAAAGAAAATTGTCGAGCATACTTTGTATTGAAAAAACGTGAAACACCTTCAACCAAAAAAATTCTCAAAAATTAACGGGATTTTTTAGAAACTTGAAAATTGTATTTTATTATACTAGAATTATATGGGCTACAAAAGTTTTTTCTAAAGATTCTGATTAAAAAAATTTGAAATTTGGATGGAAATTTGGGAATTTTTTATAATTCTTGTACAAAGGTTGAAAACTGAAGTTATATGCGGTTTGTTTTACAGCCAGCTTCTTCCTCTTCTTCTTTATTGGCGCTGTAACCGCCTAGGCGATTTTCGCCGAGTCCAAAACAGCACGCCAGTCATTTCTCTTCCGTACCAATTGACTCCAATTGGAAATTCCAAGTGAAGCAAAGTCCTGCTCCACCTGGTCTTTCCAACGCAGAGAAGGCCTTCTTCTTTCTCTGTTACCAGCATCGCGGCCCGCATTGAATACTTTCTGAGCAGGAGAGTTTCTGTCCATTCGAACGACATGGCTAAGCCAGCGAACCCACTGAATTTTAATTNAAAGGTCCGTAAATCTTTCGCAGAATCTTTCTCTCGAAAACTCCAAGAGCCGCCTCATCAGATGCTTTCATTGTCCATGCTTCCGCGCCATACACCAGCACAGGCATGATGAGTGACTTATAGAGTGTGATCTTTGTACGACGAGAGAGGACTTCTCAATTGCCTACTCAGCCCAAAGTAGCACTTGTTGGCAAGAGTGATTCTCCGTTGGATTTCAAGGCTGACATTATTATTGGTGTTAACGCTGGTTCCCAAATAAACGAAGTCGTCTACTTTTTCAAGCCTGTAACTGTCAACAGTGACGCGGGTGTCAAGACGCGTATGCACTGACTGTTTGTGTGATTACAGGAGATACCTCCTTTTGTCCTCGTTCACCATCAGTCGAAATATCGCACTGTTATTATTTTGTGGGCATCTGTATGTATAAGTAATATTAGTTCGATCTTTTCGGCTCCAGGAAATGATTAACACATTAAAAGAAGACGCCTTGGAACTAAATTTCAGTCAGAAATCTCTAAAGATGAGATGAACAAACCCGATTGTTGTATAGCCAGCTAGACTTTTATGAAAAAATAATAAACATTAAATAAACAAAAGACAAATAGCCAAAACTGGTCAAAATATCGCACTCCTATTATTTCGTGGACAACTGTAGGTACATATATACCATATAACTAACGGGTGATTTTTTTGTGGTTAGGATTTTCATGCATTAGTATTTGACAGATCACGTGGGATTTCAGACATGGTGTCAAAGAGAAAGATGCTCAGTATGCTTTGACATTTCATCATGAATAGACTTACTAACGAGCAACGCTTGCAAATCATTGAATTTTATTACCAAAATCAGTGTTCGGTTCGCTTTACGTCCGATTTATGGTCTACATAATCGACCAAGTGAGCAAACAATTAATGCGATTGTGACCAAGTTTCGCACTCAGTTTACTTTATTGGACATTAAACCAACCACACGAATGCGTACAGTGCGTACAGAAGAGAATATTGCGTCTGTTTCTGAGAGTGTTGCTGAAGACCGTGAAATGTCGATTCGTCGCCGTTCGCAGCAATTGGGTTTGCGAAACACATTTCGAACCGAACACTGATTTTGGTAATAAAATTCAATGATTTGCAAGCGTTGCTCGTTAGTAAGTCTATTCATGATGAAATGTCAAAGCATACTGAGCATCTTTCTCTTTGACACCATGTCTGAAATCCCACGTGATCTGTCAAATACTAATGCATGAAAATCCTAACCTCAAAAAAATCACCCGTTATGTTTCATACATGAAACTTTGCGTTATAACTTCTCCACTTAAGCAGCTTTGATGATGAAGTTTCACGGTCTTTTCAAGCCACTATATCTTGGAAGCTTAAACCAATCACGACTATTTGGAAAATCACCAATATCGGTGCTCTAGAAGGTACATACGTCCCTCCCGATTGTTCTGAAATGAGTTATCGTCATGTAACACGTGCTTTTAAGAATATAAGGTAAGGTAAACCTAAATATTTTTAAACTTAAGATGCATTAATATAATAAAGTTAAATTTTTGGTCGTCTTCAAAACTAAAATTTACTTTTTGAGTTTGTTTTACTGTACTGAGGAATTATTTTGTACTTTATTTTTGTTTTCCAGTTTCTGTCAATTTTTACACGATCGGATTAGTTTCCGTGTAAGATTTTTTTTAGTACTCTTACTTTGCTTTGTGAAGAACAATATT